AGACACACTTAATTTTTACAAAAATACGCCGTCTTTTATTCGCATCAGCCTGAACCTTTTGTGTAAAATACACAAAGCTTTGAGCTGATCTTAGATGAACTTGATGCAATTTAACACTTTTGCATAAAAGCTTTCTTGTACATCTTTTTGCAGCGAATTGCATTATGACGTTTCTAGTTTATTTGTTTCGTTTTGATTCATATATATATATTCATATATCGTTTTGATAAATTAGATTTTAGGTAAACTAAATTTAGAAATTTATTACCGTAATAAAATGAATACAAAAAAATATGTTCAATAGTTTATTAGGATATTAATATATAATTAATTATTTCAATGGTCTGTCAGCAAAAAGCTATGGGTAGCACTCCGATTGATTCTCTTCAGTAAAGTACCTTGTGATATACAATATTTTTTGTTTTCTTATCAGGCGCACGAACAAATAAAGCAAATGGTTTGCCTACACGTGAACATGCCACGTACAATTGACAATGAGAAAAATATGCATTTTCTAGATTCAGACTACAAACTATCAAGGATTGGCCTTGCGATTTTTTTATCGTCATGGAGAATGCAAACCGAATAGGGAAATGAATTCGTTTAAACTCAAAGGGCATATCTGTTGGGATCATTGAAATCCTCGGAATAAGAACTTCATCACTTTTGAATTTTCCTTTGAGTATCGTTGCGTGAATCACATTGAATTACATTGACCATCAGTTTTGTTATCACCAATCGCGTTCCATTGCATAGTTTTGGTTGGTTTAGATATCGATGCATAATGACTACCGAACCAACCTTTAGTTGTAAATTGTGCGGTGGTAAGCCAGGCACATTCAAGGAGTTCAAAAATTTAGTTGAATAGTTGGTAGCTTCGTCTTCGTTTGTTACACAATCAATAGATTTGAATGTATGCAGAGCCAAAAATTTAAGTCATCCACATCTTTGTTCTTAGCCGCCAAAATTGCTCGCTCAGTCAATTATTTGTTATTTTTATGATTATCAATGATGTTCCGAAATACGTCATTGATGAGTTCGTCTTTTGATGAGACGAAATTCCAAAAATTTGAAGGAAATGCAATTAATCCGATGGTTGGAGAAATCTTTATATATTGATGACAGTATTTATTTATTATATTTGAAATTTGAAATAACAAAAAGAAAATCAGTATCACTCAAACTGTCATACTGTCAACAGTTTGAAACACAAATTTATAAATTTATTATTTATGTTAAAATTAGTGGTTTTTTCTAATATTTTATGATATATTCTGCTATACGGAGCGGAGACGAAATTGGCACAAATTTCCATGTTTGCAATTCAATTCAAATTTCAGAATTTTTTACATTCTTTACTGCCGCGCAAATAAACAACACAAAAATATAAATTCAAAATGAGATCCAATGGATCTCATTTGCGCTTGAGAATTTTGTATGCAAAAATGAGTAAATTTGCTTCTCAATATCTATTTTTGACCAAAATGAGCGATTTGAGGCCAGTGTAAATGCAGTATTACTCAGAGTTACTTCGAGTAATTTGTGGATCAGATGTAATATTGCATCTATATTAAAAAATATAAGCAAAGATTCTGTCTACAATATCAAAGCAATAGTTTCAAATAAAAAAAATTTTTGACGATGAAAGATTAGTTTCTTTTGATGTGATTTCATTATTTCCGAGTATTCCAGTAGACTATGCATTAAAAATTAAAGATAGTGTATCTCTTATCAAAAATGAACGCAATATGAAGAAAGAAACAATTATGGATATTTGAAGCTTCCTCCTTAAAGAAAATAGCTACTTACATTTCAAAACAAAATTTACAATCAAACGAAAGGTTTGCCAATAGGATCTCCTAATGTAGATGTTGTAACAATATTATTATGAAGAATAAGTTAGGAAAAATTATGGACGAACTAGCTATAAAACCCAGATTACGTAGACGATACATTTGAGGTTATAAAAATTGAACATAGAGAGTACACTTAATACATTAAATAATCTACATATATATTTATATATATATAAAATTCACTAAAGAAGAAGAATCCGAAAAATTCTTGACGGAATAGTTCTTAGACACAACAATAAACTTATTATTATTATTATTGAGTAAGGGATCGTGCACTGCGACCTAAAAGATCTATTGTGGCCCTTTGTCGGGTTAGAGTATTTCTCCAAGTCCGATTTCTTTAATGAAAGACAGTATGGATCCTATCTTCCCCAGTCTTGAATCCTTATGATCCATGAAATACCCTCCTAGCTGTTTCTTTCGCTTATGCATCAGGGCCGGGTACTCCCCAAGCACATGTTATGCCGTTTCTCTCTTTTCCCTGCAGTATCTGCAGTCTGAGTTGGATTGAATTCCTAACTTCGATAGGTGATAATTCAATCTGCAGTGACCAGTCAGTAATCCCGTAATAATTCTTATGTTAGTTTTTGATTGTACTA